GGATAAACCCCACTTGGTCATAGTTAAAACTTTTTTTTTTAAGTGTCAAAGTCATGAAAGAAGGAAAGACTGAGGAATTATCACATACTGGAGGAGATAAAGGAGACACAACAACTAAATGGCAGTGTGGGATCCTGGATTGGATCCTGGAACAGAAAAAGGACATTAGAGAAGTGGTGGTAAACTTCAAATAGGCCTGTAGTTTAGTTAATAATATTGTGCCAACATTAATTTCCCTGTTTTGATAATTGTACTGTGGTTATTTGGTAACATTAGAGGAAGCTTGGTAAAATATGTACAGTCAAGCCCCAAATAACATTTCAGTCAATGACAAACCACATATATGACAGCAGTCCCATAATATTATAAAACTGTATTTTTACTATACCTTTTCTATGCTTAGATAGAATCTATGTTTAGATACCCAAATCCTATTGTGCTATAATTGTCTACAGTATTCGGTACGATAACTTGCTGTACATGTTTATCGCCTAGGAGCAACAAGCTATACCATATAGCATAGGTGTGTAGTAAGCTATATGCCATTTAGGTTTGTATGAAAACCTTCTATGGTGTTAATACAATGATGAACCCGCCTAACCACTCATTTCTCAGAATGTATCTCCATCATTAAGCAACACATAACTGTACATGAAGTCTCTATACAGATTAAGCATCCTACTCCAAAAATGGGAAATCCAAAATGTTCCAAAATTCAAAACTTTTTGAGCACCAACATAACAACATAACACCACAAGTGGAAAATTCCACACTTGACTTCATGTGATGGGTCAAAACACAGGCACACGATATACAGATTATTCAGCATCCTTAGGGAAAAAATAAAATTATCTTTAGGCTATGTGTATAAGGTATATGGAACATAAATGAATTTCATGTTTAGACTTGGGTCGCATCTCCAAGATGTCTCATTTTACATATACACACACACACACACACACACACACACACACACATATGTATATATATATCACACAAATATTCAAAAATCCAAATAAAAACTTGGAATCTGAAACACTTTAATACCAAGAATTTCAAATAAGTGACTCTCAACTTACATTTTTTGTAAGTTTTTTATGTCTGAAATTATTTCACTATAGAAGAGTTTTTTTAAGTTGTCCAAAAATTACTTCCAGAAAGAAGTTAGGTGCAAATACAGAGTTGAACTTTTTTCTTATTTCAAGGAATATTCCTATGGTATCAAAATTGTTATAGAGCATGAAAAACAATGGAAAGTATCTCAATTAATTCTATAAAGCTAATAAGAACCTGATATTAAAATCTGGCAATGTCATCCCAAAAAAAGACTTTTTTTTTTCTGAGATCAAGTTTCACTCTTGTTGCCTAGGCTGGAGTGCAGTGGCAAGATCTCAGCTCACTACAGCCTCCACCTCCCAGGTTCAAGCAATTCTTGTGCCTCAGCCTCCCAAGTAGCTGGGATTATAGGCGCATGCCACCACGCCCAGCTAATTTTTGTATTTTTAGTGGAGACGGGGTTTCACCATGTTGGCCAGGCGGTCTTGAACTCCTGACCTCAGGTAATCATCTGCCTCGGTCTCCCAAAGTGCTAGCATTAAAGGCAAGAGCCACTGCGGTCCAGCCAAAAACTGGTCTTGAATCTCACTCATGAATATAGATCCAAAACCCTAAATAAAACACTAAAAACTTAAACTCAACAATATATCTTTTAAAACATCATCATGACAAAGTACACTTGATTCTAAGAATGCCATGGTGGCCCAATATTTTTAAATTTATTAGGAGAACAGGTCAAATGCATTTCATATTATTCAATATTCATTTCCGATTTTAAAAATCAGACTTGATAAACTAGGAATAAAAGGATACTTTACCATCTACTTCATGACAGAAGTCAAAATTTAAAGTATAACCCCCGTTATATGATATTATTCTGGAAGTTCTTGCCAATGCAATAAGAAAAGAATAAGAAATAGGATGTTCAACTATCAAAATGGAGGAAAAAGCTGTCATTGTTATTTGAAATGATACAAAAACTATTAGAGCAGAGGATTTTAATAAGTAGAATTCTTGCAAAATAAATAAACAAGAACTCATTGCTTCTCTACATAAATATCATTCCAAAACACAATGGGAAAAGATCATGATTATAATAACAACCAAAAAACATAAAATACCTAAGAACAAACACAACAAGAAAAATGCACAATATAAATGAGAAAACTGCAAAACTTTGCTTATAAACATAAAAAGAAATTCAATTAAATAAAATAAGGTAAAACTTAAGTTATACAGGGTTGACAAGGTTACAGGAAAACAGATAATCACACACTTTGCTGCGAAAGTAAAAATGGACAATATCTATCAAAACCTAAATGGCAGGCAGCATGGTGGTTCATGTTTGTAGTCCCTTCAGACTTTGGGAGGCTGAGGCAGGCAGATCACTTGAGCCCAGGAGTTCAACCCTAGCCTGGGCAACATGATGAAACCCTGTCTCTAAAGAAAATAAAAGAAATTAACCAGGCTTGGTGGCACATGCCTGTAGTCCCAGCTACTCAGGAGACTGAGGTAGAAAGATTACTTGAGCCCAGGGTGTTGAGGCTACAGTGAACCAAGATCACGCCACTATACTCCAGCCTAGGCAACAGGGTGAGACCCCGTCTCAAAAAAAAAAAAAAAAAAAAAAAAAAATTAAAAGCACATAACCTTTGAGCCAGCAATTCTACTTCTAGAAATTTATTTTACAGATAATATATATATGTACAAATATGTGTGAGAGAGAGAGTGTATATGTGTGTGTGTATACTCAACATAGCACTGTTCTTAATATCAAAAAGCTGGGAACAACATCAATATTGAAAAATAAGACTTATAAAAGATGATTATCAACATTATGAAAGAACATAGAGCCATACCATAAATAGTATGATCAATATATTGAAGAATGTTTTTGTAAGACATATATGTATAAAATAGGCAGGATGTACATACTTCTAAAAATTATCAATGTACTTTTGTCTGCATGGCAGAATTATGATAACTTATTTACTTTCCTGTGCTTTTCTGTGTTTTCTAAATTGTCTACAATACTCATGTATTATAATTAACAGGGAAAAGTAATAAAGGCTTTATCTGTGGATGAGAGGAATTCTAGTACCTAACATTTGTATTAGGTACTTGCCAGACCTAATATCTCTAAATTCACATGCACTGCCTCTAAATTCTGTATTTGTAGTTGCCAACTTGCAAAACTCAACATACATGTTTTTCGTTTTCACTAGTTTCTACCATTATTTCAATGAACTCAACCCTGCAGCCCATAGTAAAACTGCATTCTGATCTTGAGTCAAGAAGTGAAACCACCACTCTGCTTGTGTGAAACAGAGGGGAAAAGACCATCATGGCAGCAAGGAGGGCAAATTAGGGTGTTTATCTTGCAAGCCTCAAATCTCCAATTTTATCCGCTACAGGAAGCAGTGGCTAATTTTGTTTCATCAACTTTTCTTTATCTCCATGATAAGTGTGTTTTATTATCTGTATATGCACAATGATGTACTGCTCCAGTAAACCAGGATATCAGAGCAGGAAACCGGGGCTTATGTTTTAAGGTTTAGATCCTGTCCAACTATATCTCATCAGCAAGAACTGGGAAGTGAAGCTCAGTATAAACATGCCATTTGTGATATACACACTTACACTTCCCTTACCACTGCTCCACTCTGAGCAGCCAGCATGCAGCGTTTGAGAACATGTTCTGTAGCCCTGTGCTGTCTGCTTCAGAGAGAGCCCTAACCACATTTGGGGGAGAAACGTCTTGTACCTATTATCTTTATGATCTCCTTAAACACCCTCCATAACAGGAACCCTGCAAACTTCCCCAGATTCATTATAGGAAATTAAATGCTTTCAACTCTATACATTAGTGGCTCACAACTTCTGTATAGGAGAGGTTTAAGGTGCAGTAATCTGAAAGAAAGGGGACTGGGAACAGTGGCTTTCAAATGATTTTTACCTCAATTTGCAATAACAGTTATTTTATTTCACACTGTGACCCATTGTAAACATAGGTGTAACATGCACATATACACACAAATGTGCAATAATATTACTAAAGTAAAAGCTTTCTAAAACAATACACACGCTAAGTGTGACACACCTTTACCTGTTCAGTAGTGTTATGTTCTAGTCTATTCCATTCTATTAAAAATTCTGCCCAAATCTCATTGAAATTATTCTGTTCATGATACTTTCATGATGATAGCAACATGCAGTTGGAAACGCACTGGACAAGGGGTCTTTGGGACCTGGATTTATGACCATTTGGAGTGCAGGACTGGGCTACGCTCATACTCAGACAGGTGTCTTGACAACACAGGAATATGGTATCTTTTTGCTCTAATTGAATTGTTAGAGATCAAGCAAATTCAAGAAATTTGAGAAGCTGTAGGAGTGTTCAGAGTCACAAATTTCCAAAATTGCATTTATGGAAATTGCATTTATGGACATATTTCAAATTTTTGAATCTTTCTCACAACCCCCTTGTTTTTTATTTTAACTTTTATTCTAGATACAAAGGGTACATGTGCAGATTTGTTACATGGAAATATTGTGTGATGCTGGGGTTTGGAGTATGGTTCCCATCACCTAAGTAGTGAATGTAAATACCCAACAGCGTTTTCTAACGCATCCCCACCACCCCCAGGAGTCCCCAGTGCCTATTGTTTCCATGTTTATGTCCATGTGTACTCAGTGTTTAGCTCCCACTTATAAGTGAGAACATGCAGTGTTTGGTTTTCTGTTCCTGCTTTAATTTGTTTGGATCATGGCCTCCAGCTCCATTAATGTTGCTGCCAAGGACATGATTCCATTCTTTTATATAGCTGCATAGTATTCCATGGTGTTTATGTACCACATATTATTTATCCAACCCACCATTCATCGGCATCTGATAACCTCTCTTGGAACCTTAGCAGAGGAGGGGAAAGTGGAAGCAGAGTTACCATAGGAAGAGCTGTTGAAGAGTTCAATGTTGAAGAAGGCGTAGTCTCCACTGGTCATGCCATGCCTGTGCGCCGCCAGCATGATGCTCCGGACGGTGTCACTGCTCGCACACATGATCACCACTAGGGGAGGAACAAACAACACACATGAGGCCCCCCTTTGCAGAGCACTTTGAGCATGCTGACACCAGTGAGGGACATCTGACAAGGAATGGGATACTTGTATGGTCCTGAAGTATCTCCTCACAATCACTTATTAACTACAAATGGACCATGGAGGAACCTAGCAGACATCTCCATAACCAAGAGATGGAAGCCAACATCACCAACCATGGGAACACAGACTCATGGGACACCCGGAATAACACTCTAAGGACCAAAATGTCTAGATGGGCAGTCTACATCTAATCAGAAGGAGGCAGTCACAAACCCAACTTGGGGGATGGTCTGTAGAAAATCGGTGTATGCTCTTTAAAATGGTCAATTTCATGAACAACAAAGACAGGCTGAGGAAACATTCTAGACTGAAAGAGGCTTAAAGGAATAGGCTACTGACTGCAATGTGTGATGCTGGATTGGATTCTGGACCTTTTCTTTTTTAAAAAAAAGTTCTTTTTAAAAATAAACTGCATCAAATAAGTCACCAGATTTGCCCAATATAAGATAGTGAAAATTGTCAACTGCTTTTTATACTTAATAGCATAGTAAATGCACTGTCCTGAAAAAACAAACTTAATGATTTTAGAGAGAACATTAACTTGGCAAATCAGAGGATTCAGGGAGTGCTACAAGCTTTCTGCTGTTCGAATTTTAAAACATTATTTTCAGGTTGTCTCAACATACATAAGAAATCATTTGTAAGATTCCAAGTGTTTCTCCCCTGTTCTCTCAGTTTATATCCACACTGTTGGATTCAAGAGGCTTCACACAACTTGAAAGCCCCTCGAATTGGATATTGTTGCCTACCATATAAGGGCTACACAGGCTAGAGTGAAGTAGGGCTTGACCATTACCCAGTCAATTTGATCCCTGTTGATAGACCCAGGTCTCCATGACCAGATCCACTGTTTTGCTGCACACATACTGTGCAAAGAGACCTGGAGAGACCTGGGTGCTATAAACCGCATTATCACGATGCATGCCAGCCCTCCAAGATGTGTATGTTCTTTGTAAAAGCATGGGTGCTGAAAGACGTAAAACAAACTTCAGGCTATGCCAAAGCAGCCTTGGCAACCTGCATGGAGGTTGGGCTCTTGTTGATATTTAGTTTACTGCACACGTTAATTCAGTGTTAGATCATGACTCTGACATTTCATACCCCAGAAGGGCTCGGTGTACAGCATAAAAGCTCTAGAGAAGAAGTTTCTAAAACAATACAAAATTCTTAGAGATTTATAACAATGGGAGTAGGTATTGTTTCTGCCTGAAAGTATAGGTATATATTTGGGATAATCAATTCCAAGATGCCTCAGTAAGAAAGTTTTCAAAGAAACTCCTAATTATTTGTTATGACTTAGACCCTTGTTTTACCTCTGATTTGATTCTAGCGTCTTAAATGAACAAAGAGTCAAGGTGTCCCATAACACATTCAACAAGGGACTGAGGCTGGACAAGTTTGAAGAATGTGGATTCCAAGAGTAGATGTCTCCAGGAGGTTCCGGGAAGTTCTGGCTGACTGGCCACCAAGCAGCCCTCATCATTTTTCGAGCAAGTGATCATAGTCCAGGATCTGGCTCTCAATTCCAAGATGCAGAACCTGATTCTGTCAACATATAGAGAGTAGAATCATTGCTTAGGGGCAACTTTCCAATAACCTAACTCAGATATGCGTAGGTAATCTGAAATGCATACTATTTAAATTCAATGAGGTCCAGGATGGTTATGAATATATTTGTGTCAACATGCCCTGTAGCTGGGCATGCTAACTGGAGAGACAAATTATAAGCAGTAGGATGCAAGTAAGGATGAAATCAGAATCAGGGAGGCCAGTAGAGGATTCAGCTGTCAAAGTCACCAGGACTTGATGACCCTAGGCATCCATCTAAGAGATATATCTGGTCCAGGACCAAACAGGCAGGGTCCAAGCACCAGAGGACCAGCTTTCCTAAACTTTGCCTGAAGTTTCCCTAAACACTGGCCTCTGTGGCACTTTTTTTCTATTTTCACATTCCTGGCTCATCTCCTTCTCTCTCTTCCTGCTATGGTTTGGTTGTGTCCCCCAGATTTCATGTGTTGGAAACTTAATGCTCAAAATCATTTGTTGGTGGTATTTGGAGATGGGGCCTTTGGTAGATACTTATGATTATACAAGGTCATCAGGGTTGGTCCCCTAAGATGGGACTGGCAGTTTAGAAGAAGAGGAAGAGAGACCTGAGCTGGCACACATTTGCTCTCTTACCATGTGATGCCCTCCATAGTGTTATGACACAGCAAGAAGGCCCTCACAAGATGCTGGCACCATGCTCTTGGACTTCCTAGCCTCTAGAACCACATGCTAAATAAACTTCTTTCTTTATAAATCACCCAGTCTGTGGTATTTTGTCATAGCAACAGAAAACAAACTAACAGACACCCCACCACCACCAAGTCCTTCTGATGGACACATTCTTTGTTTTGTTTTTTGTTGTTGTTATTTTGTTTGTTTGTTTGGAGACAGACTCTCACTCTGTCACCCAGACTGGAGTGCAGTGACTCAATCTTAGCTCACTGCAATCTCCATCTCCTGGGCTCACGCGATCCTGCCACCTCAGCACCTCCCAAGTCGCTGGGACTACAGGTGCATGTTACCACACCCAGCTAATTTTTGTACTTTTTGTGTAGATAGAGTTCTGTCATGTTGGCCAGGCTGGTCTCAAACTCCTGGCCTCAAGTGATCTGCCCACCTTGGGCCTCCCAAAGTGCTGAGATTACAGGCATGAGCCACCAGGCCCAGCCTACATTCTTTCTGTAAATGTTAGTACCCACTTAGACTGAGCAAGAGAGACATAGAGTGGCACTGTGTCTATCTAAGCAGATTTTGATTATTTTAGAACTTACTCATTTTGTGTTGGCCATGTGATTTAAGACTCAAAAGGAAGCCCTAATTTCCAAGTTCATGGGCAGAGCATTGTCTTTCTTGAATAAACCAAACCCATAATGCACATTATCATCCAGTTTTAGTTCAAACTGGAACAAGCACCTAATGACACTGGCAAAGTAGTCAGAGTACACGATCCCAGATTTTTATGATGCTCCCCAATCTCGTAGGGTTGTCTCACTCATGCCTAATTGAACAGCAAGTATTTTTAGTAACTTGCCTTTATACAATCAAAAGGTTTAGAATAGTTTTAATTAAAATAACTTTCTTTTCCTGCTTATGTTTCATCAACTTATATAATAACTAATTAAATTACATATTTATCATAATAAGCACAACCAGCATCAACAGACTTGGGGACAACTCTTAGAAAATATATGAAGAAGTATGAGAAGTGTGTGGCACACTCAGAAGAACTCTACTAGCTGCCAGCGTCTACCAACAAGTGATAAGATTTATAGAGAACAGAGAACATCAGGTAATCCTGCGACCTGCATAAGTGGAGGTTAATTAAGGCAGTTTTTGTTGTATCTCAGTATAGTTAAATACATAAATATTAATTTTGGGTCAAATTGTTAAAATCCTAAAAGCAGGGACAATGGTGTAACTCTAACTTTATGTATAGACTTTTCCTCATTCTACTCTATTTTATCCTCCTTACCAAAGAACCTTCAATGTTCCATGCCACCCTCCATCATGTGGTTCCCACAATGACTTCTGTAAATGACTTCTTACTATTGCATCATGTTCTTGCAATCACTCTAAGAACAGCAGAGAGAAATGCAAAGAGGTGTCAATTCAGAGAATCAAAAACATTCCAGGTAGTATCCCTGAATCGCGGGGATAGTTATTTCCAAAATCTCAAGTTTTCCTTGGGAGAAACCTCTAATGAGCTAACATTTCTCATCTCTCAATGTGCTTTCATTTTCTCTCCCCTCACCCCCAACAAGAGGAAAAGAAGTGAAATGTCTGACTGTTGAGCCTAAAACTGAGTATGCTGGCTCAGTCTTTTCTTCCTTCTTCTTTGGGTTGTGGCTGTTTGCAGAGAGCACACATCATGGGCTTCTTTTGTCACATGGTCAAGAGTTAGCAGGGGAGATTTGCAGCTAAATGGCACTGTCTGTAATTTAGTAGATATTCCTGCCTAATTCTGGGAGGAAGTAATAGCAAGCAGGCCCTTTTGGAAATAGATCTAAATCCATGTTCAACTGGTTTTATCAATAATAGGGATATATTAATATTCTCCATCTGGTTACTGTACCCTCTTCCAGTTAATTCTAAATTTAGAAGGAAAAGAGGGATATTACTGCATGGTAGCAAAGCAGAGTATGCCATGTCCTATACACTGAAAACATGATACCAAAAATGAAAAACTCAACAGTAACTTTAAAAGTGGCCAAGGAAATATCCAAACAAGATGAATTACCAAAAAAAAAAAAAAAAAAAAAAAAGATAGCTGGTAAATAGAAGGTAAGAAAAGTAGAGGATTATTCCAAGAGGTCTAGCATCCAAATTAGAAAAAACCTAGAAAGAGGAAATAGACAAAATGAAAAGGATACAAGTATCACAGAAATAATTTAAGAAGTATTCCCAGAATTAAAAGAATTAAAAGATATGAGTTTCTGGATAAAAGAGGCCTATTGAGTACACAAGGAAGAGGAGAAGAGTCTAAAAATTTCCAGGAAAGCAAAGCAACGAACAATAAGTTCAGAATCCAAACTGATTCCAGATTTCTAATAACAATGTTAGAATTTAGAAGACAGTAAAGCAATACTGTCACATTTTGAGGGAAATTATTTCCAACCTAGAATACTAATATTATGTATAAAGGTATGATGAAAATTTTCAGTCACAAAACATCTCAAACTTTCGGCCTTATTCATCCTTTCTCAGAAAGCTCTTGGTGGATGTGCTCCACCAAAACAAAAACATAATCAAAAAAGAGAAGCACACAGGGATCTAGCTCAACAGAGAGGTGTTGGAAGCCCCAGGAGGATGTTGAAGAACCCACAGTGGCCAACTGTGCAAAATATCTACAAAATAACTG